CATGCATATTTTAAGATTTTAAAAATATTCTTTTATTTAATATTTCAATGAATTCGTGTGCAAAAAATAATCTGAATAAAATGATAGATTTTATTGTTTTTGTTCTTGTTATATCGTATAAGCTGCTTATTATTTAGTATTTTCAGGGAACGTACACTTACCGCACTTTGCTATCTCTCTAACAATACAATTTTTTCGGATTACAGATATGCCTTTTTTGACAAAAAAAAAAAAAAAAAAATGATAACAAGTTTTCAAAGTTATAACGCGCAACAGCTACTGCGAGACTTTACTCTCAACAAATATTCGCTTCAAGTAAAAATCTCATCAGATTATTTATTGACATTCATTTCTGGGTTTTTAACAAAATCTTTGATTAAATTTACAAGGACAATCAATGCTTATTTTAAAATAAAAGTTCCTTTTCATTCTAAAATTCTTATTACAGCAATAATAAGAGTTTAATAAAGAGGATGCGCCACTGAGAAAAGGCTTTATTAATTTTTGACAAAGGAATCGATACTTTATACAATCATAATTACCCAAGACTCTACTTTAGCCTGCACAACAACGTCATTTGCCATGTCGATCACTATATTTTTTGGGCTTCCGCTCTTCTTTTCCAAATTGAGTTCAGTTGCGCTCTGCTTATCTTTTGTGCTCTTCTTATCCGTCTCTGGAAAAGATATTCGCATTTCAGTGGAGGTGTTCACGTTCTCTGCTTTGGTTGTGTGGAGAAAACCTTAAAGCCATCCGTTATTCACTGAATAATGTCTTGCGAAGACGTCTTTATCCATGCGAAGCTATTACCTTATCTATCAAAGTTTTAATATGTTATAGGATCGCTTGGAAACTTATTTATTGTATTTTCGAAAATTCCGAATCGTTCGATCATTTACATAATTTAAAAGTTTGTCTTACTTTTTGAAGAGTAAATGATAAACTCCAAGACATTATACATCGGATGCGCACTCACGCACGCACGCACGCACGCACGCACGCACGCACGCACGCAGGCAGGCAGGAAGGCAGGCAGGCAGGCAGGAAGGCAGGCAGGAAGGCAGGAAGGCAGGAAGGCAGGAAGGCAGGCAAGTAGAATACTAATGCTAAATTATTTATAATAGCGGCGTAACCTCTAATTTACTTTCTTAACTAAGCAATTTGGATTTAAATTTCGTAAGTCGAGTGAAATATTATCTTCCGCCTTAAGAGGTCATTTATGTTGACATGTGCATTGTTATTTCTACAAGCACCATTAAATGCTAAAGAGTCAACTACGTATTCGTTATTTGCCAAGCTTTTGGTGGATTCGCTAAAGAAAATTCTACTCGACCGAGGACGTATATTGTGATTTATGTATTTCTCTTAGCGATTCACTTTATAACTAAAATTATTTATCAGTTAAAAATCCTCGCGAATAGTACAATTCGAAAAAATAAAATATTACTAATAAAAAATATTTCTTTTTTTTATTTAGTATATTTTATTTATAATTTATAATAAGTAGATTTGAAAATGTCATTTCTCGTCTATGTAAATAGCAGGTAATTAAAAAATTTATTATAAAAAGCCGTATAATTAATGTACATTTATTTTATTAATATATATATATATATATATATATATATATCATTAAATTTTCATCATTACGTATAAATGAAAATTGAAGAGAAATTTCAAATAAGTTTTCCGCAAGATAGTTTTGAAGTGACACTTACAATATATACTCGATTATAAAGTTTCTGTCTAAGATTCACAAGATTGTTATTATATAATGATTCTCCAAATAATATTAATTTTATCTCTACATATTTTATCTATATTTTTAACTTATATGAATTATTAAGTTATTATGTAGAATGTAATAACTTAACGCGTAAGTTATGCGACAGTAATTTAATGACTAAAATGCAGAATGTAAAACATCACCAGTTTGATATTATATGAATTATTAATAAATCATATTCATTGAATTAATCAATCAACCAATAGAGTAAAATAACTTTTAATAATTATTATTACAATTTTTTTAATCTTGAACGTACTACTTGTATAATAAAATTTGAATTGGAGCATCTGTTTAAGAATCAATGAAACTCATTTATTTTAAGATAATTACTTTTCCGATATTTTCTTTCTTTCATATGGTTTTTCAATGGTATTAAAACAACATTTAAGATGATTATTATACTTTAGTTTTTAATTATAATTTATAAATGTCTAGAAAAATTGATTTATAAGTTATTGCATAAGAGTCTAATAAAGATATTTTTACGTGTAATATTGGACCATGGGGTTGAAGTTAAAGTTAGTACTTTAACGAGGACTACTTATTTGCCAATTTTTTAATTAATACGTTAAAAATGTAGTATCGATAGTTTGAAAGAGAGAGAGAGAGAGAGAGAGAGAGAGAGAGAGAGAGAGAGAGAAAGAACACACGAATATGTATTAGTATTATATTTTAAAAGTGTCACGTCAATAGCCAAATATATCTATACCAATAGTATAATCAAACGTACGTTACCTTTTATGAATTAACATAGATTACGAACCTTTAACATAATTCAAAGAATACAATTTAAAGAAGTTAATATGAGAATAGATTGAAAATATAGGTAAATTAAGAGATTCTTTGATAATTGGTTAAAAGATGAAATTTCGTTCATTTATAGAACGAAGTCTTTCGTTAGAATGAAACTATTAACGAATACATTATACGACTGCTCCAGCCATTCGCTGCAAATTTTCGAAGTAAAATTGTGTAACCTTAACCGACGCTGCACCTTCGCATAATTTTGGCATAAATTGCGCAAGGCCAGAAAGCGCGCAATTGTCTCGTAAAGATTTAATCGGCGAATTGCCGAGCTGCCGTGACGTATAATAATAATTCGCCGTAGCAGCGACTCCTCAGAGCTGATTCGAGATACCAATTGATCGTCCGCGCCCCGAGGAGGTCCGGGCTCGCCCCTACCACATAGAGGCAGTAGCTCCCCTTGAGCTCGGCTCGCCCAGCGTCTCTCTTCCTCTCGGATGCAAGGTCGAGCGCCCTCCCTTCCCCACCTACCCTTCTTCTCATCCTCGAGCTGGGCATCCTTGTCCTGGGAGTTACAGTCCATCTCCGAGAGCTGCCAGAGCTCGTAGGCCCTGTTGAAGGCCTGGGCGACGGTGAGGGTGACCGTCTGGGCGACCTTGCGCTTGGGGCAGAGGTAGGCGTGGCACTCCAGCGTCTCGTTCGGATTAGTCGCTATAAAAGCGAACACGTGGTCGTGGGCCCCGTCCGCCGAGCAGTAGGAGATTCTGCGTCCGGAAGCTTAGTTAAAATGGGTTCGACCTTCCCCGGAGCTCTCGTCCTATCGATCGGTTGCGTCACGGAAGGTGGACGGTTATGGTTCTGAAAGGGGATGCCGGATATTGGGACGCACGGGGCTTGGACGATCCGACGTGGACAGCCGGAACGGGAGCAGTTAATGCGTAGGTGGTAGGAAGGGTCGGGAATGGTTTACGACTTTGGCGCTCAACTGGTTAATGGGATGGCCCCGTGAATAATGCAATTAATTTTCGACCTTCTGTCAATGTCGTTTGATTAATCTACTCGATAGCGTATCCCCTACCGAGCTGTCGTCCTCATTTATTTAGAGGCACAGCTTTTTAATAGCGTTACTTATCGAGCAATTATCAATCGATTTAAGAAAAGCCAAGAACGTTAATAAATTCAGTTTGAGAAATTTCTCAATATACTTGCAACGCTCGTTATTAAAGTATCGGCGCTCCAACGCCAATATCGCCCGTTTTATTCTACAAAGAGATGCATATTATCGTTGCTAAAACTTTTATTGCCTTATGTATTTAGATAATGAACTTTAGAATATCCAGAGATGATAAATAAATCGTATGGACAATATTATCGATTATATTAAATTTTTAATTAATATATTAAATTTATTATATTAAATGGACGATTTCGTGGGAGATGTCGGACGATCGTCGGTTAAATGCCGACGGCTCACTTTCCAAAAACTTATCGAGCTAAATGTCAAGCAGACAATTATATAAAGTACTCCAAGCTCTTTTTATTCTTCGACGCGTATTATCGAGCGCGTTTCAATGGACGACGAGTGTATCATTGAATGGACTTTGTTACATCGGAAAATATGCACATTCGTCCAATGGATATTCGGCAATAAAATATAAAATCCAAGCAGATGTAATCCAAATGATTTGTAAATCAAGGTTGTTAATCGAGCCGTTGTGCCACGCGTTAAAAGCCCAAACTTTCTTTGAAAATAAATCCGCGTGCCCTTCCAAATTTACTTGCGAGAACATTGCGTATGAAATTTACATAGAACGCGCCATAAAGCTGTTATGGGAAGGTTTTAAATTCTTAAAATTAATGCGCAATAGGCAGCTTCACTCCGAAACCGTAAATTCCTCGTCAATTTTCGCAATAAGCCTGTAAAATTTAACTTTAAAAACAATTTAACATCCGTGTATTTTCAACTGCCGCGATTAATCCAATTGAAAAAGCTTCGCCTCGATCCTCTCCGAGATCCTCGACCCACCCCTCAACCGCCGACCCAGGCACTAATATCATTCTTTTGCACTTTTATTTCCACTCTATATTTCAGTTGGTTTTTATTGAAAAAGAAAAATCCAATTACGAACCTATATATCGACACTCGGAGCTGGTCCTCGTCGGTCGCCAAATCCGTCATCCGAATGCCCCGCAGACTCACCGCCAGGGAGATCCTCTGGAGCTTCTTGCCACTCGCCTTTGCCTGAAAGTAACGGCGCGATCCAACAGTAGACGATTTAAACGGAGCTCCCGAGCCTTTATTACGTATACGCTCGCTAAGTGGTAGAGAGATAGTTTTGTTCATTCTCTTTCTCTCGTGGTGCACGGGAGTGCAAAGCAGTAGTAAGGATGTGCGGCCATTGGCTGCGTTAAAAGGAAGAGCTTAGAGGCTTTGCCTCGTGGGGGAAAAGTGACTAAAAATGCGACAACATTGGCCTAGACCATTGAATAGAACGTCTGATCGAGTATTTTTTTGTTTTCTTCTTTTTCTTCTTCTTCTTCTTCTTCTTCTTCTTCTTTTTTTTCTTTTTGTTTTACGTTAGTTTAATGAAAGTCCGATTGCCAAACTGCGGGAATTGGCACATTTGATTTCGATTAGTATGGAGATATAGTTTTCATATTGGCATATATTATTAACATAGTTGTATTATATTCCCTGTCTTTGGTTTTATTATATTATTTAATTATTTATATAAAGTATTGTTATAGAAGCTTATGTTCATCGCTAATAAGCGATTGCTCAGATTTTGTGATTCAAGCCATTTATAATAATTATCAATTAAGGTAAAATTTGCATCTCAAAGTCTTACAATACGTCGAGATAAATTACAGTGTTCGTTATCTATATATGCTACTGAATTCCAAACTACAATGTTGTATTTACATCAAGTATTATAAATTATTGTATTACAATTGTTTTAGAAATATTTACAAGCACTAACGTCATTGATATGATGTGCTATATGAATGACAGTATTTAGCTTAGTTTTAGATGCATGAAAGTATGCGCGTGTGTGCGTGTACGTGTTTTTTTAAGCTTTTGTAAAAATAAAAGTAAAATATTTAATACCTACGTATTTGTTTGAAAAGTGCTTAATAATACGTATATTACAAGCACTTCGACTGATTAACTTTTAAGAAAATCCGTAAGCTATAAAATCTTATTAAAAAGTCATATCGCAATACTACTTGAAGTTTACGATGCTTTTGGACCACAAAGTAATTACAAGATTTCGAGAATTTTCTTAGCAAAATATCATCCAATTAAATTCATTAAATGATTACATGATACGAATTGTTTATGTTAAAAAAAAAAACAAACAAATTTGCAAGAGCTGCTCAGTTTCACAATTAGTCTAAGAAACTTTTATGACAGCTAAAATGAGTTTAAACACTACGTATAGAACTCAAAGTTGGGAATAAAAGTTAATCTACTAACGCTATAATTTTATAATACTTTAATGTATATTTTTGTTAATAGTAGACGCTTTTTATTTCTATCATTAAAATTGATTTCATTTTTGGTGGAGAAATATTCTTTTCGAACGCTTGCAAACAGTAAAAGTTCAGTGGATGAAAAGGAAACTGCAAGTACAGTCAGTCTCGTTGACAAAATTTTCATCTACTCGCTTTTCTAAGCGCTGATGGCGGATACTTTTTTCTTAAATAAATAAATAAATATATATATATATATATATATATATAAAGAATTTCGAGTAATTATTTACTATTTCTTCACGTTCGTATATTTGCTTGCGTGAAGCTTGATTTCATTAAAAGCTGACAGAAATGGAAAGATAGACAGACAGATAGAGAGAGAGAGAGAGAGAGAGAGAGAGGGAGAGAGAGAGAGAGAGACGGCAGAGAATAGCTTTGTCTAGGTCGTTTAATAGTGGTAAGTACCACTATTGCAGTGTCTAGACTTCAAAGTACTGGAGAACTTAACAGCACCAATTCCTTCGTGCATCTCTATATAAGTGCATTTTATGCAATTTCATGGGCTTAAGTGCATTATCGTTTTTCCTTTTGATCGAAAAACCGAAAGAGCTTGCGCATGGAAAAACAGTACACCTTCATTTTACTTTTATTTTATTTTTATACCGCTCGTACCGGTACTAAGCATATGTTTGTTTACACATTGAGAGTCTTCGAGCCGCAACCCAGCATATTTTTATTTATTTATTTATTTTTTCCAAGTATTATTGGCTTATTGTGCAAGGGTACTTGAAAATTCACTAGCTGATTACGCATTTCTACTTCAATTGTAATTTTCCATTATTATTGCATGCTGCTAAAAGTTCATTCTATAATAAGAGCTTATGAACATTTTCAAAGGCTATGCATTTTAATTGATCGAGGACTTGCTTTTTTTATTATTACAATTAGCAACTGTTTATATTTTACAATTTCAACATACATTTACTTTATACAATATATATTGTCGGCTTTAATATCTCTTTATTATACAATGGGATTTTTTTTTTTTTTTTTTTTTTTTTTTTAAAAAGGGTTTTTTTTTTTTTTTTTTTTTTTTTTTTTACAACCTTGGAAAGAAGCTTAAAGTTGTATTATTTTAAAAATAAATTGTTCCTTTTTTTTATATTATTGCTATGGCTGTCTAGATTTTATTTTACGATACTTCTGTTCTTCTACTACTTTTTGTTTCTTAAGAAGTATTATACGTTTGAATAAGATTGGAAACAATTGTATGTAAATAAACGTTTGCCGACGCGTCCATTTATTTGATATACATGCAAATGTAATTGCTGAGAGTTTGAATAATTTAAATTACGAAAATAATTTTAACATACGTGCTATTTCAATTGATATTGATTATCGGCAGAAAATAATTAAGTTATAAATTCATTATATCTTTAACAAATGAATTATTGCTGAGTAATTGACTTAGCATTGCAATAAGGTAAGCCGTCCGTGATGAGTTGAATAGTGATAAGCCACGTACATCAGCAGCGACTATTCTCATAGTGGCGATTTGTGTTGTAGTACACGTCATCTGTACATGAGATCAGAGTATGGAGATTATCACACTTATCGTGTATTAGATTTTTCGATGTTTAAATTTCAAGTGGCTGCACGGACAAATATCTAGAAAATATTCCATCGGGCTCGTCGCTTTCGCACCTTTTCTCCCTACGAGCCTACGAGCTTGCGAAATTACTTTATAACAAATAGTGATTAATAACAGGACCGTATAGATCTCACGGCTGTGCGTACAAACGATCATCCGCATGCCACCCGTTACAACTTCAAGGAGTGATAAACGAAGGGAAGAGAGGCGGCGAGATGACAGCGAAAGAGAGGGGAAAAATCCATTACTCGGTTTATTAAAGTTTCGTGTATTATCCATTAGACTACGTGTGCGCGCCTGGGGAATAAAAAAAAAAGAAAAAGAAAAATATGAAACAAAAGTGAGATCAATCATATTGCTTTATCTGATCGAAACACGAAACGACTGACAATTCAATGGTGCAACGAAGAATATTTGCATAAATGTTTTGATTACTTTATTTCGAGTGTTTTAACGGGTTTTTTCTTCTATTGTGTTTATTAATTATAATGATTATGTAAATAATCTTTTTAAATTATTTTCTGCCGTCAGAGGAGAAAAAGCCGTAACTTTTCATAATATTTCATAATCAGCTGTAATAATTGCATAATTTTAATTACAAATTAATAATTGAACCACAAAGAAAGCGGTTTTATATTTAAATTTATATTTAAAATCATGAATTGTTTTTGTTTTGCCTATATTTTTAATCATGTAAATTTGATACATAAACAAGGACTTTTACTTATTAGAGTACAAATGTTGTTATAATAATTAAAAAAAAAGAAAGAAAAAAAGGTGACAAACAATGGGTGTCCTCGGATAACATACTTATCGTAACATTAAACCAACGGATTTTAATTGAAGAAAAATTTCCTCATTAATGCTGTTAATTAAGTGTTAATTTGAATTCTACGACATGCAACAAGCGCATAAATATTGAAACGGTAAATAAACAAGGTAATTCTAAATATAAAGCAGTTCAATGTAATTTCATACGACGTACAAATACGTTATCAGGTGTACTCTAAACGATAAAATTGTACCATGGATGAGCGAACTGGCCGTTATTTTCCCAGTTTCTGTAACGTCGGACGTACGTCAGACGAGAAAAGCAGCTTTACTACCTGCGATAAAATGTATGACCAAAGTTATCCAGTAGGCAAAGCATATATATATATATATATATATATATCCAAGCACTATTTACAAAAGTATATTTTTATTTTATCCGCTTATCCGAGCGTATTCTCGTAGGGTCAAATGCAAAATAAAAATGGCACGCACAATCGCTCGTTAGGGAAATTTTCGAATAAAGTGTGCGTCCAATCTAAATTCAAACGATCGCTCTAAGCTATTGTCTTCGATTGAAGTTACATCGTTAGATTTTCTTCTCATTCTTTTTTTCTTTCTTTTTTTTTTCTTTTTTTTTTCACTTTTAAAGCAATCTTATTTAGCGAACTTTCCTTACTCAATTCTTTCCATTCAACAAGCAACATTTCTCGCATTATAAAAAGGCATTATAAAACCTTTAATCTTGTAAAATGGAACTCGAAAGTTGAGTTATTCATATTTGAAATAGTTGTACATTGAATATGTCAGTGGTGATTTCAGCGCTCAGTTATTTGAGTTATAGATCGTACATTTCGCCGACAATACTATTAAATCTTTGCTAAGTAAAGATTTGCTGAATTTGCCGCATTAGTCGTTAGACTGCCGCCATGTAATACGTCATTTGATCGGAGGTAAGCAACGGTCGAAGCTACATTCCTAATGCAGCATTTCCTCAGGGGAAGGAAGAACAACATTTATTCCAAGCTCGTTCATTGGTAATTAAAGATCTACTTTGGCTGATAGCTTCCAGCTCTTGTAGTTGAGTAATGGAATGTAGGCTTGCGCGCTTAACTAGAGAGATAGACGCGAAATGAAAATATCTCGTGAGGGATGACGTAGTTAGCCCAGTGGGAAAAATCTCTATCTCTTCCTTTCCTTTCGAGCCGTTTAATTTACATTAGCCAGACCGCGTTAGTGGCATAATTGCATAAGGTCGCTTTGTCGGGGCACGCGAGCATGAGAAATTGCCGGGATGTGGCTAGACACGACGACCGAGAGAGCACGAAGACGGGGATTGAGTGGCGCGTTGAGGGCGTGGGAGGGAAGAGGCAGAGCAGAGTAGTAGAAGGTCGGTGCAGCTGCAGCGATACCACAAACGGATTGCCGGTCGCGTACGACGAGCTAAGTAGAATTGGCACGTTCGTTCTATCAGACACATAGATATGGTGGCGCGAGCACACATACCAATTCTATCCGTTGAGCGTCATTCGTGCGCGAACGCGCGGAATTTACGCAAAAATTTACGACGGCCGAATTGTCGAGAATTACGTGACCGATGCTCGCATTCTTGGATTCATGTCACGGCGAACGCAGACGACGAAACGACCGAATTCTGGCGCAGTGTTTCCATCATCGCTCGACAAATTTTCATGGTGATAATCGCTGATCCACGATGACACTTTTGCGTACGAGGAGGGAGGCTTCTCATAAGCCAATTTTTACGTCACCGTCAAGGCTGTATTATGCAGTCATTATTATACGTTGCACCAAGTCCTCCTCGCTCTCCTCTGATTTATTTTAGCTCCGAAAGCTTTCCATCGTGGCTGCGAGACTGTAATTCGTAAATGCAAATTCCGATGCTTATGTGCGCGCGTTAAGGGCATGACAAACGAGTCGTTTTACCTCCTAACGAACACCTCGAAAATTTTACACATCCTCGTCGTGATGATGTATAAGTGCAGCTCAAACTGCGTTTGCATCTACATAATACCATATATATATATTTATACATTATTCTCAATGTTCTTTAGTTTAAAACATCTGCTTTCGCTCTCTCTCTCTCTCTCTCTCTCTCTCTATATATATATATATATATATATATATATATATATCTTCGTCTTTGCCTCGCTCGCGCGCTGATGGTGTGCGAATGTCTGACAAGGCTTGTTAACCGGATCTCTCGAAAGCGCTAGTTTCCTGAATTATCAACATAGAGTTATGCATGCGATTCTGAGAAAAGTGATTCGATGGAAAAGGATGGAATCCGACGGAAATTATAGTAACCCAAACGCACTTTGAATATTCGAGCGTCGGTTTCTATGTTTATATGCCACGTGTCTATTCGCTCTAATTGCTCGAAAGATATGACTTAAACTCGAATTGAAGCTTCTAGGCTTTTAACGATGAGCACACGCTGATTATCACCCGCTCAATTACAGTCGCAACGGAAAATAATTACGTATGTAAAAAGTGGCAATGTTGGAATTGTTAGAGGGCTGACTGTCGTATATGAAACGTTGAATAATTAAATAAACGTAAGCAGTTATATTTTTTCATTATTCAACGTGTGAAATGACCCGTACGGGGGCTTTCAGTAAATAATCTTTCTCACCGACCGTTCTTTGATTGCGTCATAAATCTGAAATTAATACTCGCATTATTATTTTGAGGAGTCTGTTTTCCTCTTTTCAGTCTTTCAAATTATTAAAGCGTTAAAAGCGATTTGATAATACGAAACTGCCGCTACTAAAATGGCATGGGCGGTGGGGGGGGGGGGGGGGATTATCAAAACAATTATTATTACTTCAAATTTATAATAATCTCAATTCTTTTTATAATGTAAATATTATAAAAACGAGCTCTAAACTTTTCAAAAGCTAAAGCAATTTTTTTTTATCTTTGTTAAGGATTTCGTTGCCTGTTTGTATTTGCTATCTGTTCGTGGAACAATACGCAGGGGGTCATTACTTTTTAATCGGCCCTATAAAGTATTATGGGCACGTAAATTATTTAACGGATTTATTTGTTAGATCAGCAAAATAATATTTGACGTAAGCTTGAAATAACGAAAATCCTCGAAACGTAATGGAAAACAAAGGAAAAGAATAATATAGAAAAGATACCTAAATATATAAAAATTTATTTAATATAGTATATTTTGTGGTCTTAAATAATAACTTAGAAACATTGGTTCATAATATTCGTGGTTTTTTTTTTACTCTCAGGACTTTCAGTTAACATATTTCAAGAAAATTGCTCGATATTTATAGTTACTTTTCATTACTTTTCATTACTTTTCATTTGATAGTTTGATAGATAGCTTTAATTGAACGTTGTTGTAATTCTTATTTAAACTATTGATATTAATATTTTTCATATTTATAGAAAATTTTTTACGATAATAGAAAAAAGATTTTTTCCTCTTCTCTTGGAAGATAATTACAGTCCATTTTGCAATTTAAATGCTTTGTTCGATCTAATATTATAAATTAAACTTTAAGTATAATTAGGCCCCGCTTAAGCCAGTATTTACGCAAGAGAAGCCTAATCGAGCTCATGCAATTTGAAATTATGCGATAATGAATTATTATAAATAATATTGAAAGTATTTTTAAAGTACTAGTAGCTCGAAACGAAAAACTTTTACGATTTTACATACGTTTACATAATAAGTAAAAGTTTCTTTTTTTCCTATAAAGTATCATTGACGAACAATAAGAATTTATAATTTAAGTTCAATTTACTTTTAATTAAACATATTGAATTGAATATAATATTATTATAAAATTGCATCAATATGAAAAAGTACAATTATACAATTAAGAATGCATTGTTGTTTCCTTAATAAAAAAAAAAAGAAAAAGAAACGATTGCTGGAATCGAACATATACCAATATATTTATCTTTTATTCACATACTATAACGACTGGAAAATTTATATCTACCAAGTCAATTAACAATTATCGGTTAACAAATTTCCTCGATAAATTTATTTGTATTTGCTAAATATTAAATTTATTAAATTGGAACATAGCAAGCATATCCGTGGTCTTGATAACGAATCGTCAATGTTTACTAATTTCCTAACATCCTTCATTGTTCACGAATGTACACGAACTAACAAAATTTACTTTCGATCAGCCACATTATTGGCTTTATAAATAATGCTAATAATTGATAATTTATATAGTTTTTTCAAATTTAAGTGTCTGCGAAAATCATTATTCATGGAATAATGAGGGAGGCGGCGATGTCCTCGTAACTAGAGGTTGTTAGTACATGCAGAAAATGAAGTGAAACTAACTTTAGTGATGGATAATCAATAGCATTTCAGCATAATTCTCGGATGAGAGTGTAATCAACATTTTTATGTTGATATGCAAAATGAGAAATAACTGAACAGTTATTCAAATACCGATAGGGCTTAATACTATTAAATAATAATTAATTGTTTTTTGTTTCTTGTTGTTGTTGTTGTTGTTCTTGTTGTTGTTGTTGTTGTTGTTGTTGTTGTTGTTTTTCTTTTAAACGAATGCTCTCAAGAATTACATCGAGCTATTGGATTATTCGATTATGAAAACTTTAGATCGACTTAATATCTATATCAATGGGAAGACGATATTTATGGTTTTCATCATATGCATTACTTATGTGTCATCACATACAAGGGCCATCGTTAAGCATCTTTAAATAGTGCTTATGAATTATTTCAAAATATGCCACTATGAAATGTATTTATTTTATAAATATAGTATGCGTGAAACAGAATTCTCGAAAAATTGTGTCGTCCATGTTAAAAATAAGTGCCCATAAAGCAAGTTGCTGATAAAAGTTTCATAAAAAACAAAAAAAAAAAAAAAATGTAGCGTTAATTACATGTAAAGTTATTGTAAAGTTATTTATTTAAATAAAATATTTACGTAGAGGAGGTTTACCTTCAATTTATTTTCAAATTATTCCGAGTTTACGAGAATGATCGATATCTATAGATCAATAATAAATTTTCATACATTATACGAATGTAATTTAAATTCTGGTGGTTAAGCCTTTGTAATAAAATTGCGAATACCAATTCAGCGGATGATAATAAATAAATAAACAAATTAAAAGGATTATTTTATAAAATAAAATAATATCGCGTGATTTAGTAATGAGTTATTTTGCATTATTTTAGCACCAGTTCGCACGAATTTTATTCTCCATTGTAGGAAAAGTAGACAATTGTGTTATGAGACTTTTTCCAGCACAAACTTTCAATCGATCCACTTGAAAGTTCGCACGCGCATTCATCGCGCGGGTACCAATATTTTTGCACAGCCACTTTCTCTCCTCATTAAAAACAGCCCGTACTTTCGCAAAAAAGCCACCAACACACGGCCCGTCGTACACTTCACGCGCGTACGCAATTGTATTGGCCGGCAGATGTCGTAAATAAAAAAAGAAGAAGATGATGGGGGTTGCCATTGTCGAGCGAGTTGTCGACGCCGTGACTCATCGACAATCGCGATTTAAAAAATCGAAGTTTCACGGAGCCTCTCTGCCTACTCGTCTGGTAAATCGTTAGGGCGGTGTGATCGATGATGGCCCGCCCCGCCTTATCCGCGGGCCAGGCGAGTCGCCAGTCGGATCGTCGTCGCCGGCGTCATAATGAAAATAATCTGCACGTACCATGCCGACGATGGTCTTTACGGCGTCGGCCGTCTCCTTCTCGCTCGAGGGCGACTCGACGAGGGTGCTGCCGAGGTACTTGAGCGAGAAGAAGGTCTCGGGCGGGATGTCGGTGTCGTCGGGCCCGGTTCTGCTGCTGCTGGCGCTCGCGGTACTGCAGCTGGTGGTGCTGCAGCTGGCGCTCGAGGTGCTCGGGCCCACGGACTCGCAGCTGTTGGCCAGGGCCCATTCCTCGCAAAGCTCTGCAATTTTTGGGGGCGGATTATTGGGTGTGAAAATGAGGGTGAGCGGAAACGAGGGTGGACTTTGTCGCGATTGCGCTACGTCGCCGTTTAATATACGCGAGGGCGAGCGGGGCTCCGACGAATCTGATTAATGTCGCTATTAAAAATGATTAAGCGCGATTAATGAACGCCTGGTTAGTCAAGCGCGAGGTAACAATTGTTCACTTGCGCGAGCGCTCCCGTGTCCCTCCTAACAACAATCCGCATTAAATGTATTAAGATATTACGGTCGATTAATTAGTTTCTTATGCGCGCGATGCCGATTATCTTTAACCAAATTCGACATTTTTCTCGAAAATTTTGCTTATCGGGCTTCCGGGACTTATTATAGGCCATTCGCGGAAAATAAGGATACCGGATTACCGGATATTTTTCATCCATTCACCAAGAGACACCGAGTGCTTGTTGTAATTTTAATTTACGTTCCTCATCTTTTATATATTATTCAATTTTTTTTCCGCACTTAATACTGCGTATCGATTAGAGTCAGCCGAAAACAGTATTTTGAAAATTTATTCATAATTACTTATTCCCCAGGGCTTTCGGTGTAACGTTAGAAAAAAATTCATCTAAATTAATTTATTTTGTACAGTGGCTAAGTGAATGTTCTAAATAATGAGCAAAATTACCGCCTTACGATTCACGAAGCACCTAATAATAGTTATAAAAAAATTTAGTTGACGAGCTAAAAATTGATGTTAGTACGATATAATCAAAGAATTAGTCATAAATAAATGAATCATTTTAACGTTTGAAAAAATTATCGATTCCTAATTTCCAAAAATTAAGAAAATATTAATGTTTATATAGAAAAGATAAAATACCCCTCATATTCTTCATGTTTTGTTATATTTCAATATTTATAATATATCCAGTACTTTCATAATGTTATTTATTCTTTTTTAATTTTAACGAGATATTCTTCTTTACGGTACTTTACAATGTTTCATAATAGTAATGGCATATGTAAAAGAAAAAGAATCACCAATAAATGCGATTGTATCATTATTATTATTATTTTTTTATGATTTAAATATTGCAATTACATCGTACTTCTTTAAAGACATATTTTTTGAAATTTAATGAAATTGTTACAACTTTAATGGAAATGTAAGAAAAAATAAACATTAAATGTCAATGAAAAGCGTGTATAATTTTTTTTTTTTTTTTTTTTTTTTTTTTTTTTATAGTATTTACATAAATCCGTAATTCCTTTTTCTCTGAAATATTTTCTTTTGCTTTATGCTTCGTACAATTTTCATCTAAATACTGAATCCCAGTACTATCATTTTAAAAATCTAAAAATATTCTCGTTTATACATACACATAAAATTAAAGATATTTCCTAATGTAGCATATAAAAAATGATTTAAAAACATTTGCTTTGAATATAAATATGTAAGATACATAACGAACTTCATACGATCATACATAGATTCAAGAATTCTGATGATGACTCCCAGTCCAAGGCAAATAATGCCAACCGAGGTATTCATTTCTGGCGAAAAAAGGGCATTTCGTTTCTCAGTCTACGTAAGTTTATCATTCCTTCATTTATTTTCAAATTGGAACATATCAGTAGCACACAACATTTGGTTCGAAATAACGTCATCTTTGATATTTCTATCACATACACGATTCTGTGTTTGTATTTTTTATTAATACTTTCTGCTTGTCGAATTCACCTACTTTTTGAAGTATACGTAGATTTTTTTTACTAAAAGAGCTATTCTAGTCATTGACTGTATAAAACATATTTTATATTGATTTTATTATAATATGACGAATGAATTTAAATGTGTTGTGAGAAACGGATTAATTAATTCGTTCATCACTAGCAGTATATATATATATATATATATATTCAATTAGTCGGCCAATATTATATTTTGCTATACTTATTCTAATATTTCGAATTATAATATCGTGAAAATGCAACGTAAGCCAGTCTTTGTCAAAAAATTAGAAATGCCAATGACAAGAATTTAATGTGATAATCAGGAAGATGTGATGAAAGAAAGTTTATATTTTCCGATGATATGTACTTTTAATGAAAAGGCATTTACTTGTTAAACAATGTATAAGACGCGATTGCAGCAAAAAGTTTTCCTTTACTTCCTTCCATTTTGTATCGCAGAAAAAACTTTACAAAATGTATATTTTTTATTAAAGAGAAAAGTATAAAGTCCATATTTTCGAGTCTCATAGTTAATGGTAAAATAATATTTTCTTTATAAGTTTGCCCGACGGAATTTTCATTTCATTTTTAAGATTTTATTTAAAGACTTTTTTCTGGATATCTTGAAATTAAAATCTGACTCTATATAGAAATTTCTTATGAATAAAAAAATCAAGGCTTGTTTAATAAAAATACAAAATAATGTTATGTTTTTATCTAATATTTGAATTAATATGTTTGTTTTTTTCTTTTTTTTCTTCATCAGCTGCATTATGAACAAAAATAAGTTTAAGAAATATTAAAACCTATTACGTTTTAATACATTACAAACTCTTTACAGCTTTCATTATTTTAATTACACAGCGTATGTGCATGTGTACATATTTATAAAGAAAAGAAAATTTCTAACTTTGTATATTTTTTCTCATCTAGATAGCATTTTTATAAAGAACTAATGGTCGATTTCATTAAATATAGAAATTTTCTAATAAATAATAATGGAGGATTTAAGGAATAATTAAATTCACAATAAGTAATTACTCTCGATTCAAGTAAAAATATAGAGCGAAACTGCAAATTACGGCTCAAATAAGTTTTTAGGTTAATATAACTTTTAAGTTAAACTTTATAAATTGAAGTTTTTACGCTTTATTTTAATTTTTTGTTTAACTTTATTTGAAACAGATAGCTTGAAAATTTTCGTCCACGTATGTATTTATACATATATATATATTTTTTTTTTAGTTTTTGTTTTTGTTTTGTTTATACCTTTTTCTTCGCAATTGACATGATAATTATCATGTTTAAATTACAATTAAATACTACATCAATTTACTATTAATTTAAAGGAATTTTAAAACCGTAATACAAACACAAAGGATTTATTAGATAATTGTAATACATATTTTTTTAATAAGCTCATTTATAATAAAATGTTCTTTCTTATATTCAATTCCCTTTAATATCCTATTCATTTTTATTCCCATACATTACGTCCATTACAATGTACTTAAATTCGTAGTATTAGTGTTATATATTTATCAAATATACAATAATACACGCTGATGCACGAATACGTGTGATCCTGCGCAATGGAGAGTCGCTATTAAAGCAAACATCGGCAGAAAAAAATGAAAATATACGCTTTCTCGAGGCAACTTCCATGAAATTTTGTGCTCATTAAAGCCAGCGATTTCAAGGAGACAGTGACGAGAAAAAAGTAGCAGGTACAAGGCACTTTTCAACACTCCCTCAAAGTTAAGCTCCAGGTTAATATTTGTCCAGCTTGATTCTCGTCCTCTGAGTCAAAGCACCTCACACGGCCTTTATCCAGCGACGACTTCGACGCACATGCGGGGCCAATAAAACCGCGCCATCCTCTCCCGTCGCCCCATCCCCCTCCACAATCCCTCATCGTCCAGGAAATAACAACTCGGCGGTGGTCGGGCCACGGGGTCAGGGCCCTTCTCGCAGCCCTTCTCCACACCCCGATCTCACCGCCATCCCAACCACGCACCGCGTGCCGTTAGAAATTGCACCGTAACCACTCGTACGTAACGCGCAAAGGGGGATGGCCGAAGCGCTACGAGCTGGCTCTTTATTAACTGCCATTCGTCCTCCGGGAGCGAGTGCAAATGTGTACCGAGTGCTTTCCCGGCACTGCCGAGAGGCTCCAGACAGCGGGGACGACGTAACGCGGGCATCTCCCTCGTTAGTTCCCCCATTGCGCGCGCGAGCTTTTTCGTGGCTTTCATCGTGCACGTTGGATAATTAATTAGCCATGATATTTGGAATTTCATTGCACTGTACTCCCCTTGATTAGCCGACTTTCTCAGTGACCAAAGGGGGTACGTTTTATATTTTCAATAGTAACATCCAGCTGTTTCGAGGGCAGTCGGAGTAGTCTAACGTAAGCCATTTCTGGCAACGGTTCGTCGCTCAGCCAACTATTATAATTATCAATAATTTTCATAATCGGACAATTAAATAAGCATTGCGTTGAGCCAACATTTCAATGTGGACGCGAAAGGATGTCGATTCTGCAATTAAGGGGATGAAAAATAGTTAAGCTGTGTATTAATTAGCGCTCCAAAAAGTTCGTAACATTCTCTATTAGTGACTTGCGCCGTGCAATTTCTTATTATCTAGGGTAAACAAATTGTCCAACACTCTTCTGCAAGAACGTTGTAGAGCATTTTTCGCCTTTTACGGTATATCACTGTCTTACAAGGCGTTGCGCTTGTATTTTTATTTATTTTCGTCGAAAGTTTACTGATCGATCTCGGAAATAGTCGAGCATTTTAATTTCGCTGCCTCGCGCCAAAGCAGCCAGCCCCAGTCGCTTCGAGACCTTTTTGACATTCCCAAGTAGTACGAGTCAGTCCTCGGTCCACCGAACTATTACGTAGGAACTTTTAAATTTATCGTTAAAAAACGACTCGCCACTACTCGCTTAAACGATGTTTTTTTGTCCAATAAGGGCTCGTCTAATGTTAATTATGTTGACATTGAGTTTCTCTTCGCAAGCCACAGTTCAGCATTTATCACAATCTATTGCCGAAATCAAGCACTTTCCTCTTCGCAGCAGGTGGACCAGCTTCGAGCATACGACGCATGAAGATCGGTGCATTTGGAGTCACTCGACCATATGCGCCACTTGTCCTTTGACGTCACTATTATATTATTATCTCGCGGTAGGCAGCTCGACGCTGACGAAGCTTTGTGGTGGTCGAGGGTGTTACTCGTAATTGGATCCCAGTGACTAAACACCTGATTAAAT